ACTCTATTATTCACAGGGTGACAGCCACTCATCTTGCTCTCTCTGTCCCTGCTAGATGGCAACAACCTTATTGCTTCCTTCCTTTGTTCTTCTCATACCTCACCTTGCAGCTCTCAGCCCCCTTTTCCCTCGAAGTGCCCGACTGATTTAACATAATGGTTCAAAATTAATCAGTTGTACCCACATCTACTCTGTACGAAGATTTCTGTATCTGAAACGCAGCAGGCAGAATCCATACTGTTGGTCTAATATATGATGGTGCTTTTCCTTGCAGCCTTGCCTTGTTTGTGTCCTGTCCTGATTTTCGCTGGAATAGACTTAGTTTTCTTCTTAGTAGCTGGTACAGTGCTGTGATTTGGATTTAATATGAAAATAATGTTGGTCACAAACTGGTATTTTGGTTGTTGTGAAGCTGTGCTTACCCCAAGTCAAGGACTTTTAAGTGTCTCATGCTCTGTCTCTGAGGAGCTGCACCAGAAGCTTGGAGGAAGCATAGGCAGGAGACCTGACCCGAACTGGCCAAAGGAATATTCCATACTGTAGGATGTCATGTTCAGTACAAAAACTAGGGTGGGTGTTGGCTGGAAGGGGCTGATCAGGGATGGGATGAGCATTGGTGAGCAGGTGGTGAGCAATTGTTTTGGGCATCACTTGTTGTACTGGGGGTTTATTTCTCTCTCTTTCTCCTCTTCCTTTTAATTACTATTATTATTTTTATTGATACTATTATCATTAGCTTTATTATATTTACTGTGTTTCACTTATTAAACTGTTCTTATCTCTTATCAGGAGTTTAACTTTTTTTCCTAATTCTCCTCCCCATCCCACTGGGGCAGGGAGTGAATGAGCAGCTGTGTGGTATTTACTTGCCAGCTGGGGTTAAACCATGACAGTCCTTTGACCAACACCGCTGTAACAAAATTGGTTCTGCTTTGGCTTTTTCTAGTTAAACTGGAAACTCCAGAGCAGAGTGTTCCAAGATGTATGTGGGAGCAGAATCTGCCTTAATGCTTTCAGCAGTGCCTCTTTTATCCGTCTGTTTCATACAGAAGCTGGAAGGTCTGACTTTGGGTAAATTTGAATGCAAATATTCATTGACTTTGCTTATATGTCAGAATCAGTATGCTGGCAAACTGAATGTTACAAATAGTAGGAGGCAGCCTTCTTCTAGCAGACCTGCAGCCCTGTTTGACTGAGGACCCTAATCTCCACAATCCCTGGATTTTGTAATCTGACCACGCTTGTAAATACACAAAATGTTACAGTTAGAGAAGCTCTTTTAAATAACTTGTCTCACGGTATGTAAAATAGTTTTAATAATGAGGTTGAACCCTTTGTCACTCAAAAATACAGAAGGCTTTCTTTCTTTCTGGAGTAAAATATGATAAATAAAAACAAAGAAATTCTGGTGAATAAATTGACCTTCAAAACTGGCAGGCTTCGTAAACTGCACCTGAAAGGCTGAAGAGATAACTTGTGCGTCATTGCTTAGGAATAGCAGGGCTTGGTTGCTAATGCTCTTCTAAACACTGAAATACACTCTCTTGTAATGCACAGGCTGTAGTTTCGATTTATTTATTTATTTATTTATGGGTTGATGCTTTTAAATACTGTCTTCTCTGCACCATGGAACAAGGAGAGCGTGAAATTTTGTCATAGAAGTAGTTTTTTCTTCTTCTTGGGCGTCATTTTTATACTTTCAGATACACATAGTAAAAACTGGGGTCAGCAATTTTGAAGAGTTTGTCACAAAATCCTGAAGAAACAGGGTTTCCTTCAAATATACAAGAAAAGGTGAGAATACTGAAGACTTATTCTCATTAGATCTGTATCTTGCACATGAGTTGGCATAGTGTTTGGCAGGATAAAAACTATTAGAGGGTTGCCAGCAAAGGTGGTCTTATGATGTGTTTATGCCAGGAAAATGGAAGGGAAGGCCAGTCTAAAGATAATTTTTGATGTATTATTTTGTTTTAATCAGTTTAGGCCTATTGTTTGACTGAGCTGAAAAACAGAAATAAAGAAAAACATAGTGTATTTTCCACCTGTCTAGGTAGTTTACATATAGTTAATGGCAGAGGACTCATTTAGTAGGTATGTTTATGGTAAGGGTAATTTTCCTTGGTTTACTGGGATTTTGTTTTTGGAACCATTGCTTTTAAACACATGTATTTCTCTAGCTCATTAAGTCCTTATGAATTAGAAAATTAAACCTAATATTTGATGGTGTCAATGTAAAAATGTACTCTTTGGACTGCATTTATAAGCTTAAGTGCAACATGTTTCTATCATAATTCTGAATGCTGGACAGTAATAAGTCAGCATGTATGTTTGCAGTGCAGTGTATATTGCACAGCATAAAAGCTACATTTGAAACCATATTTCAGTTCCATGACCATAGAGAGGTGTGTTAAATTTGTACTGTAATTGTTGATAAACTTGTTCTTCAGCTATTTAACATGATGGTGCTTATACCTTTTAAGAGAACAATAGTTTCTGAACTGAAAAGAGCAGCCTCTCAGTTAAAATAAACATTGGAACTGCTTGTGTACTTTCAGCTCGGAATAAATAGCTTGCAAATCTATAGCTAGTTATACATATTTCTATACAAATATTTGTCATTTAAGTATTTTTATGATGTACAAGAAAAGCCCGTTAACAATTTATTTTTCAAGGGCTGACAGACTTTTCTCTAGTCTTCAGAAATTCCAATGCTCAAGAAATATCTTTAAGCAGTAACTCATATAGAGATAGACATTTAAGTCTTGACCCTGTTGTTCAGGGATTTCTATGAAATCAGAGAGACTGTTAGCGTTATATGGCTATTTTTACTTGTTTATTCCTTTGATGTATTTGTGAAGGACACGCATTTATATATGCATGCAATAAAAATCAGCTAACTGATACCATAAGATTGGGCTCTTCATTGAAATTCAGTTTCTTCTCTGGCTCAAATGGCACTAACAAGCAGGCCAGAGAAGTTCAAAGAGGGGCCTTTGATCTTCCAAGTTGCGTGAGGTGCTTGGAGGAGTTACAGGGCACTTGCTCTCCCTACAGAGGTTGCCCCTTCTCCAGACCTGTGGGGGTTCCTGTATGTGTGGAAGACTGATGAGCTTCTCAGAAGGGGCAGAGGTAGAGCAAGGGCTGTCCTAGTTATAGTACACCCTCAACACCTCTGGAAGGTTCTTTTTCTGTGGATGCCAGGTCTGTCAAGCTTCTGCCTGCTGTATGTTAGTGGGTGGCAGCACGAGATGAGAATGATTATTTGGGGTGGTTTTTTGCACTACTGTGATACCTCTAAATGTGGATGATGTCTGTTAGTGTTTCTGATGAGTTTATTTCTTCAAATAAAAAAAAAAAACTGAGCTAGGGGATGTGCATTGTGTTATATATTCAACCATAATTTTCCTGCTGTTTATCTAACTTCTACATAGGCAATATAAAAGAGATACGGACAATTGGACATGAGAAATTCAAGACACGTTTTCCTGCTGGATTTTTAGGCCTGCCATATTCCCTGGCCCTAAACTTAGTATCTTTGCATGATGTACTTTATGGACTTGATAGGACATACAAAGCACTGGCTTAAAACTGCTTTGGTCCTTAGGGCTTCCAGTAATGAAAAATTTCAAAGCAACTTCGAAAAGGTCTGTCTGACAGAGCACATCTGTGTAAATGCGGGGATAAACCCTGGCTGGCAATATTGGAGGAATCTGCCATGAGTCCTAATAGAGAAGATGGGTTGGGATGACATTCCTCTTCACCTCAAATTTGCATAGTAAAACTTCTCTTGAACCTTCTGCACCACTAGGGAGCTGGAGGACAGTATTCTGCATGCATAGCATGGAAACAGAGACACTTTGATTTTATTCCCTGAAGTCGGTTCCTTGACAAAATAATGAAGTAAATGAATACATTGATGTTCACACCCACTTACATCAGCAATGTCCAGTGTTAAACATTTATTGCTGGTAATAACCACCCATCTGTTTAAGATTTTCTTAGTCTCCTAGGCAGGCTGTGTTGCAAAAAAAAAGATTAAATCACTTAGAATGTATTTTCTTTTTTTGTTGTTTTGCCTGCTTTAACAAGAGGTTTTAAGTCCCTGCAGTTCAGATTGCTTTGAACTCAGCATTCTTGTAGGGTTAAAAAAAGTGTATATGCAAAGGTGAATTGTTTGCTTAAATGAAATGTGACTTTGTACATATAATAATGCAATCAATTTATGAATGTTTATATATGAACTCTTCATCTATTATAAAACTGAATTTTCAGGAAAGTATTGAACAGAGTTCTTTTTAAAATTATTATTTATTATAAAGAGCAACTGTTTTAAGCAGGAGTCCTATTTATTTCATATAAAGATGATTGTAGGAAGGTTAAAGGTAAAGAGGAAGCAGAAAAAATATAGCTGCTTGTAAACATCACTCAAACTATGTCAGCTGAAATGCTCACTATGAACCAATATCCCCAGCTCTATCTCCATTGGCCTTTTCCCAGGCAGAACCAGTCTTTAGGCTTGTTTGCACTAAAGGCCTTTGTTGCAAGGTCTTTCCTAATTGTAGCTGAGGACCATGCGTGGCCTGAGGATATTTCTGGTCTTCCATGGTTATATCCAAGTTGGGACACAAATGGACATCCCTCTTGTGAGTTTGAAGGCTTTAAAGTGTGTATCTATTGCCCTTCGACTGTTGTCACTTGGTCACTCTTTAAACTGTAGTTCAAGTAAGACAAAGTGCAGTATGTTTCTGTGATGCAAGGAACATGTATGCAATGCAAAATAATCTTTAAGGACCTTTCGCTGTGTATGATTCCTGTGTGATGTATTTGAATAACTGGGTCTTGTGTAACGTGCTGGTGATTATTGGATATCTGCCAGTCAGAGCACCTGCTGTCGTGTATTTATTATTTTAATATTGTATATGGATGTCACGGATAAATATTTCTGAAACTTGTGTGCAGACTAAACATAATTTCTACTCTTCATTCTGTATTTCTAGTCCGGGACTGTGAAGCTGACCAAGCCTGTGGCATTATGGACCCAGCAGGATGTCTGCAAATGGCTGAAGAAACATTGCCCTAATCAGTATCAAATCTACAGTGAGTCATTCAAACAGCATGACATAACTGGTAAAGTATGCACTATCAGAAATATTTTACTTACTTAAAATGTGGCAAATTGTTTTACTTTGCTGTTAATAGACTGTGACTATGCACTGAGGGCTTTTTGTTGATTGGATGACTAGAGAGTTGCAAGGTTTAGAGTAGGGGGAATATTCCAGCTTTCTTAGGATGTGGTGATTTCCCCATCTCTCTAAAACATAAGTTTCACATTACTCAGGGTCAATATAACAAGGAAAGAAGTCAGTCTGTATGCAGGTAAAGGCCCCACCCTGTTCATTCCAAATAAATAAAAAACCTCCAAACCCAAACATTAAGAAACATCCTATGGGGAAAAATGTAATTTATGTAAATTTTCTTTTTCATTGAGGTGTTTCACCTTGATTTCATACTCTCTTTTGTGTCTCCCCCTCCCTTTAAAAAGAAATAAAAATTAACCTTAGAGTCCTTAACACCTAGGATGGGAAACGAGCCCAACTGCGCCCCTCCCTAGGCCTGAAGTAGGATCAATACAGCAAGTTCATTTCTGGCAGATGTTTGTCTAACTTTGTTCTGGAAAATTTGCAATGGAGGAGATTTTTGCATCTCTCTATTCCAATATTTTATGACCTTTAAAGTTGGTATTTCCTAGTATCAATCTAAACTATTATTTCCAGCAAACAAAACTGATTCCTGTCCCAAATGTGGCTCGAGTACAACCAACCATTCTTTCTCACAGCCTTTCCGTCTCTGGATAGAGTGCTTCCTAGTTGCACAAACTTTCCTTGTCTAGTCTAAAAATTATTTGTTTGTTCTATCATGGTTTGCCCCCAAATACATGCAGGACCTCCAAACCTTCAAAACTTGGTGTCTTTTCTTAAAAGAATATATTAAAAGAATAGTTGTACTTTATTTTCCTATTTTCTTTAGAAGTTAATATTGATGTTGTCGTTCTGCTTGACTTGTCAACTCCTACTCAGTTTGCTGTAGTTGTCTTTTAGCTGACCACTTTGAACAGACATCAGTTTAGCAAATATAACTTGGGAGTTAAATAGGACTTTTACTCATGTACCAGACAGTAATTAATCTGTAAAAAATTTAATGTGGTACACTAATTTGTTCTCTGAAGTGGTAGTATACCGAACTGGGAATTGGAATTCTCAGACATTTAATGTTAAGCAGAGAATTGAGTTTTACATAAAATTTCAGTCTTAACACTAATGCATTGTTAACATTGTGTGTTTCAGTCAGTATCTGTTTGTATATGTGTACTTGTGGTGTTTCAAATTTTACCTTGATTCCTGTTGCTGTTTTCTTTCTGATAACATATGAATGATTGCAAACATGGCAAACTAAACTGCCAATATTTGTTTACTGTGTAGCCATGAGTACCTATACACACTTACATGTGAGAACTGGTTTGTACTGGTTTGGTAAGTGTTGAGATTTACTACATAACCACTGTGCCTATTTCCTCTCAGTCACCATCTGCTGAATGCAGTCTGTAGGAATGTAGTCTGTGTCTTCACCCATGTGTACAGACCTGACTGCATCCAGAGCACTACCAGAAGAAATCTAAGCTATTTTAAAATATTTTCTAATAGTTTTACTATCATGTTATCTGTTTCTAGAATTAAGGGAGAAGTTGTTTTCATTTCAACTTAAACATAGATGGAAACCTTGTAGTTTCCTTGCATATGTGCAAAACTTTGAACTTTATAGACTTCTGTGAAAAAAAATTGAGATCAATCTTTCTTACTTTAGACAAAAGAGGAAAAAGGAAAATATCTGTATGAGTCTTAGAAAGTAAATCTGCAGGAAAGAAAATAACTTCAATTCAGCAACTACCAAATAAGAAACATGATCGATATTTGTATAGATTTTATAAAAGTATATTGTGATAGTATTATGAGTGAAATCATTAACTCAGGACGATCTTTCCAGTGCTGTTGGTCCCCATTACTCTGATTATTTGAACTCTAATAAAGGTATAGAACAGTGGATTTGTAGCTCAGAAAGGAGCATGGAAACTAATATGAAGATGAAGCCAAGATATTGTAACTGTTCCCAGATATGGCTACAGAAAAATAATGTGATTTTTGAAAATTTCTCAGGAATTAATATGACTTTACAAGCTATTTTGATACGAAAAAATAGGATGGAAAATAGGATGGAAAAGAACTTAAAGAAAGTTCTTATGAAAAGGAGATTGAAACTTTATTTGAAGATAAAATCTAACACATGGTCATAAGCCAGGAAAATAATCTTGGGCAAACATATCTAACAATTGTTAACCATAGGTGTTGAAAAATGTGGCATTTACCTGAGACTATTAGTTGCTGATTACAGTTTATTGAGTTGGGGACAAAAATGCAACCCAAAACGACCTTTTCTTTGCAGAGATTTTGTACCTTTTATTTCTGACAAAGAACAGCTTCAGATATGTAAGAAAAAAAATGCTTCATCTCGAAACTTACCTAGTAAGAAAAAAAATCTTCATATTAACAGTGATCTTGAGGATGTCATGGGACAGAGTGTACTCTCATCAGATTTGCAGATGACAGCAAGTTGGAGGTAACAGTCTATAGACTCAAGAGTAGGGACCATCCATAGACGTTTAGGCATAGGGACCAGACACAGGCTGGAAGAACCTTATGAAATTCAACAAAGACAATTGCAGCTGGGAAGGCTGAGCCTCTTGCACCCCACTCAGCCTGGGGCTGAGCGGTGGGGAAGCAGCTTTGGTGAAAAGGACCTGTGGTCTTGATAGTGAGGAAGATGAAATGAACCAATGTTGTGCCTTGGCAGCAAAGAATGCTGACAGAATCATAGGCACTATTAACAGGAACATAGTAGCCTGATCCAGCACAGTCATTATTCCCTTTTACTCTGCACTTTTTAGACTACAGTCCTTGGATCTCCAGTGCAAGTTAAGGTGAGGGCCAACAAGATGCTCAGGGCTGGAGCACTTGCCCTGTGACCATTGAGGCAGCTATCAGTAAGACAAGAGGGCATGGTCTTAAGCTCTGCCAGGGGAGGTTTAGGTTAGATATTAGGAAGAAATTCTTTACAGAGAGAGAAATCAGACGTTGGAATGGGCTGCCCAGGGAAGTGGTGGATTCTCCGTCCCTGGAGGATTTTAAGATGAGACTGGATGTGGCACTTAGTGCCATGGTCTAGTAACCACGGCGGGGTTGGATGAAGGGTTGGACTTGATGATCTCAGAGGTCTTTTCCAACCCAGCTGATTCTATGATTCTATGAGGGAACTGGGCTTGTTCAGTCTGGGGAAGAGGCAGCTTGCCAGGGTGGGATGGGGGGACTGGCAGTAGCCCCCAGTGTGTAGGAGAAGGTTGTCAAAAACGTGGAACCTGACCCTTCACAGTGATGTGTGAGAGACACCAGACTTGAGCTGAAACAAGAGGCTGAGCTTGAACATCAGAGAAACTTTTTCCCCATGAGAACAGTCGAGCATTGGAACAGGTTGCTCAGTTTCTGTCCTGGGAAGGTTTCAAGCCCTAGCTAGATAAAACCTTGAGAAACCTGATCTGATCTCATAGCTGACCTTGTTTTAAGAAGGTGGTTGTGCCAGAAATCTGCTGGGATCCTTTCCCATCTAAATTCTTCCGTGGTCCCTTCCTATCTAAATTCTTCCATGGTCCTATGATTTGCTGAGTACTTACTGAGTACCTCAGAACCAGTGAAATGCATTTTGCAGCCAGTTAGGCATAATTAAATATGGAAAGATCTAATAAGAAATGGGCAGATTTCTTATGTATCCAAGCATATAACATGCTTGGATTCGGGGAGTAGAACATTTGGTTGACTTATTCAGCAACAGGTCAGAAGTACTCTTCATGGTGTTGGACCCAAAGAAAGAACCAAAATAATTTGAAGGAGTAACATTGAGTGAGATCTAAGGGCATTTGATAGGAATTAGCAGTGATGGGAAAAATAAGACTGTGAAAAGGGAGGAACGAAGATGACAGTGGCCTGTACAACCAAGAAGGCAATGTCATGGTAGGGCCATGTCACTGGAAGCTCTACAGCTGGTGTTGGAGTTTACACCAGTAGGAGGAGAAATAAAAAGTTGCACTGATTTGCCAAGTTTCACACTGATTTTATACTGATGAGTTCCAGGGGATAAACCCGAAAAAAGGAGCTCACTTTATTTGCATTCGTGGCTTTGAATTTGCTGGGCAGCAATACTTTTAAATGACTGGGGAGTTCTAGAGAGATGGGTTGTTCTTTAATGGTCTTATTCTGTACCATTGGAACAAATGAAGATTTTTGCAATGTCTCACAATTAACAGAAACAAGACTGGGCATAGAATGACCAAAGAATAACCATTTTGGGGCAAATGGTCCATTGACAAAGTAATAAAGATGATGTCCAAGGAACGGCTTATGGATGTGTATTGGAAGGGAGGAAAGGGAAGGGAAGAAAGGAAAGAAAGGGAGGGAAGGAGAAAAGGAGGGAGGAAGGAAGGAAACCCTGCTTCACCTTTTATTTCTACACCATGTTTCCCGATGTGCTACTGCATGTCTTCAGAGCATGAGGTTTTAATGCTATGATCATTAAACAAACCTCATTCTGTCAGAGTAATACCCAAGAGGTACCTTGGTCCAATTGAAAGAATTTGATAGGAGGTGCTTGAAAGGACTCAAACCTTTTTAAATTAAACTTTTAAGGAGGAAAGGAACAGGACTCAAGAAAACCTCATTTTAGTTTTAGAAGGGCCCAGAACTTCTGAATAACCATTAAATACCAAACAACAGCTCAGAAAGTGAAATATGAACTGCTACTGAAAACCTGCTGCAAATAGTCTTAAAATCTGGCTAATTCTATGACCTCTAAAGATGCTTGCATTAAATCAGCTTTATTGACATATTTTTATGAAATTTATATAAAATCATGCTTTTAAAATCTCAATTGATTAATTTTTTCTCTTAAGTAATATCTTTGTAGATGTTAGAGTTTATCATATCAGATAAAATGCTCAAGTTATTTAGCATGTTGGTGAAGGGATG